AATTAAATTAAATTAAATTAAATTAAATTAAATTAAATTAAATTAAATTAAATTAAATTAAATTAAATTAAATTAAATTAAATTAAATTAAATTAAATTAAATTAAATTAAATTAAATTAAATTAAATTAAATTAAATTAAATTAAATTAAATTAAATTAAATTAAATTAAATTAAATTAAATTAAATTAAATTAAATTAAATTAAATTAAATTAAAATGAAAATATAAGCTAAAGTTTTAGTAATGTTAATAATTTTGTTGTGTGTTTTAGTCATTTTTATTAGGTAATTAAATATATCTCTATATAGTTTTTATTTGGTTTTAATTTGTAATTTTAGTTTATTTGTTTTTTGTTATTTTTGAACTTCAATGTAAATTAAATGAAAATGATGCCCTAAAATACATAAAATATTTTATTTAATGCTTATTTTAAGTAATAAAAATGTAATGAGTAATATTTTTTATGGTTTTAGATTTAGTTAATGATAATAACCCTGACTTAAGACGCTATAATATTTGTTTGGTTCCACTGTTCTATGACCTAAAACAAGATGCTAAAAAACAAAACAAAAAAAACAATAAATGATAAAAAATAAAACATGACTACTCAAAAATGCTTCCAGAATGCTCAAAATATTTTGTATTTCTTAACTTTATTCACTTCATAATTCCCACAATCTCCTAAAGCCCTCTGTCATAAATGTACCATGATATTACCATGCATTTTGAACAATACCATGATGATAATACTATGCTATTCTTTTAAGTACCTTGCTAATAGTGTACATTGTGGTATTCGCACAGTGCTGCAGTATATTTCAAAAGTACCACTGTATTTCCATCTGGCTTTACACAGGTAAAGTATGAACAGACACACTGACATCTGGAACTTCTCGAAGGTCTGAAATAAACAGGCACTAGCGAGAGGTACCAGGGTAAAAAAGGCATTCTCCTGTGTTTTTACAGTGCTGTTTATCCGGGCACAGAGCCGCGTGAGAGCGCTTTAAACCCTCATATCCTCTTGTGTCATTTTAAAACCACCCATTAGCACAAATGAGGGACTAAGCCGAGACTGAAGCCACAGTGTTCGTGCAGTCGCGTACACACACGTTTATACAAGCTTGTAGACATGTACAGTGATTCAATGAGGACCACACACTGATGTCAAAACAAAACAGCTGAAAAGGTCACATGACAGGGGTTAAATCACTAGAGGTTGGTTAGGTGCTGTATTGTTATCGCTAGTCGCTATATTCGACTGATTTAACCAAGTATATCAAGAGTCGTGGTACTATTTTTATTTCAAATGAAAGTATATTTGTCAGCATTTGGGTTTATTTAAACACTGCTTTATTCGCGTTCAGTAAAATACAGATATAATGTGTGATGTATGTAATTAAAGGAATAGTTTAAAAATGAAGATTTGCTGAAATTTTCCCATTTAAGATGTAGATGAGTTTATTTATTCATCTGAACAGATTTGGAGAAATGTAGTGCTCTGCAGTGAATGGGTGCCATCAGAATGAGAGTCTAAACAGCTGACACAAATATCACAAGTAATCCACACCACTCCAGTCCATCAATTAACATCTTGTGAAAAGCTGTGGGTTTGTAAGTATTTGTAAGACACAAATCCATCATGAAGACTTTAACTTTAAACTGTAATTTCTTGCTAACAGTCCTCTACCCAAAATATTGCTTTCTCCAGTGAAAAAGTCATCTCATCTAAATCAGGGGAGAAATATGTTAACACTGTTAACAAGCAGAAGCAGTCCAAAACAGTTCTAAACAAATATGTGGGTGGATTTAGATGTGAGAGGACAACAGGAGATGGACTTTTTTCCACTGGAGGAAGATGTATTATGGATTATGGAATTGCATTTTGGCCAGAAGCAACAGTTTGAAGTTAAAAGATGTTAACTGATGAACGTGGATAACTTGTGGATTATTGTGATGTTTGTATCAGCTGTTTGGACTCTCATTCTGACGGCACCCATTCACTGCAGAGGATCCATTGGTGAGCAAGTGATGCAATGCTACATTTCTCCAAATCTGTTCTGATGAAGAAACAAACTCATCTACATCTTGGATGGACAGAGTGAGAGTACAATGCAGTTGTCAAGGTTGAAATGTTTTTTGTATAAAATGTCTGCTGAATGACTAATCAGGTTATTAATTAATCATCAGTCATAAAAGAAAAATCAGTTTTATTGATTCCTCATATCCAGCTGAGATGCATTATTGCCTGACAAACCACAACAATGACTAAAAAACAGGACAGAGAAAGGCATTATGTAATGAGTAGCATTGCAATTGCATTTTAACAGTTTAAATCTCTGGGACAACAAACATTCTTTTGAGAAGATACTCACGAGCGAGAGCTGGTGCACAGAGCAACATGAAGACAATCAAACGTGTTAAACATCCCGTCAGCGTCCGTCGCCAGACCCAGCTCCTGCCAGAGACAGACACCATTTAGACTCACAAAACAACATCATGTAAAACTAACAGAGGTAGCCAAATATTCAGCACTGAGGGAGAAATAATGCAAAAGATGAATTTGCAAAAATATTATTCTGAGTATTGGTGAGACTTGTCTAGGGAAGGTTTGACTCTGGGTTTTCTGAATCAAAATATGTTCTGAATTAAACTAAATATATATATTTTTTGATCTTGATAAAATGTATCATGGTGTCCACAAAAATACTGAGCAGCACAACTGTTTTCAACATTGATAATAATCAGAAATGTCTTTTTTTTTTGAGCAGCAAATCAGCATATTAGAATGAATTTTGAAGGATCATGTGACACTGAAGACTGGAGTAATAATGCTGAAAAAAATATTCAAGTAGAAAACATTTTTTATTTGTAATAATATTTCACCATTTTACCATTTTTACTGTATTTTTAATCTAATAAATGCAGTCATGGTGAGCTTAAGAAACTTACCAACCTCAAACTTTTGAACAGTAGCACATTATTATAATCAGTCAGACACAGACCCTCAAGAAACCCCAGCAGCTCCTCGCTGGAACAGAGCCATGCTGAGAGCGAGACAGAGACCCTGAGCCACCTGTCCACTCAGCATCCTTATGTGTGTGTTGTTTTAAATTGGCTAGAGAGGCACAGGAAGATACTGTGCTACAGTGATGATGAATTAGTCATTCTCTTGGGTCAGAGGTACAGACACACAATATGCACCATCTATCCACAGCATTACACACACACCTAACCCTGTCACTCCATTACCCATCCATCCATCCGTCCGTCCATTGGACACATGCAGAGTCTTTCCACTGACTGGACTTATGGTGAACATGTTAAAGTGACTTTTTGCAAACATTATGCATAAAATGTCCTGCTACCTGACAGATTTCTGAAGCAGATGCCCTGAGAATACACTGCGGTCTCTGTGACAGCACAAACGAATCGGCCTACGCACGTGTTGGCAAGCTCTCTGCCTGTCAGTCATTATGTGTTTGAGTTTGCTGACACCAATTCATTACAAAAAGCCTCAAAAGAATGATTGAGACACCAGAACTTGTCTGACGAAATCTTATGGATGTGATTAGGCAGATGTCAAGATCTGAATAACAACTCTGAGTCAATAATAACTTACATTTCAGTCTATTTCTCACACAAAGCTATTGCGTGACTTACTGTATTAACTCTACTTCTTACAGGTTTGGAACAGCATGACATACTGTTCAAACATTTGGGGTAATAAACAGTAAAAACAGTAATATTGTGAAATATTATTACAATTTAAAATAACTGTTTTCTACTTAAATATATTATAAAATGTAATTTATTCCTGTGATGCAAAGCTGAATTTTCAGCATCGTTACTCCAGTCTTCAGTGTCACATGATCCTTCAGAATTCATTCTAATGTGCTTATTCTTTTAATTATTAATGTTGAATATGCTGCTTAATATGTTTGTGGAAACCATGATACATTTTTTTCCAGGATTCTTAAAAGGACCAAAAGAACAGCATTTGAAATCTTTTGTAACACTAAACGTCTTTACTGTCAGTTGTGATCAATTTGTTGCATTTTTACTGAATAAAAATATGAATTTCTTTAAGCAAAGAATATAAAATCTTACGTAACCCAAACGTTTGAATGGGATATAATGCTCTTATATACACGTATATAATGCAACTCACATACTCCCTGTTAGGACTGTCAAAATGATCCTCTCTCTCTCTCAGCGTAATCTCAATCCCTTGACACATGGTTTTGTTTTGCAAGCAATTGTTCTATTATACAAAAATAACAGCTTGTATTTTTCATTTGCAGCTGTTGAGGCAGAAGTGTGTGTGAGGATGACAGAATAATGAAACAGAAGGATGAGAGCACAATACAGATAATTATACAACTTCAGATCTGTGATTTTTCACGGTCATTCGGAGAAATAAAAGAGAGAATGTGCATATGAAGGGAAATACTCCAGTCCACTATAATGTAAAAATAGAGAGTTTTGTGTGTGTGTGTGTGTCCGTGTGTGTCACACATATGGCAGTGGCCCCCGAGCTGTGTTGGCTTTGGTGTGTGAGCCAGACTCCCAGGCAGCTTTCCTGAACACTCACAGTGTCTTAATTAAAGTATTCCCAACCTTCCCTCCTTTATATAGTTGTGGCTCTCAAAACTGATTGTTACTGAAATTAAAATAAACAAACAAACAAAAACTATTAAGATTAGTTTGCATTGAGACACCTATTTGTTATGATAATTTGGCACAATGACACAATTCTCATAGGTGTAAAAAACAACAACTTTTCATTTAGCAATGCTCTTTATAATTTAAAAAAAACCATTGCATTATAGTACAGTTTTACCAATTGCACACACACATACAGTATATATATATATATATATATATATATATATACAGTGTTGGGCAAGTTACTCTGAAAATGTAATCAAATGACTGATTACTGATTACTGATTACAACTTGGACAGAAAACTATCTCTAGACATCAAGATGTTACTTTGTGATCATAGTTAGTTCGGCAAACACTTCACAATGTTCTTTTCAAGGACTACAGGGTAAAGATGCACTATCATAAAATAAGTAAATAAATAAAAACTGTGAACATGAGCCATGGGAGTAGTATAGTATCATTTAACTAGATACTATGGTAATCATTTAGTATTTAGTCCCAATATCCACTATATACTATATATATCATCTGAGACTGTCTGATACTGCAGGTTTTGTGGGATTCTCTATGTGTCTCATACAGTAGTGGGTGAAGCTCAGATTAGGAGGCAGGGTTATCAAAATCTTGGATTTGGTCCTGTTGACACACTCATAGCCTATATTATAATCCATGCGGGGAGGAATATCTCCTCCCACTCACAGCCGTCATGAGGCACAAACATATGAGGGAACACTCCGGAAATCGCAAGCTGCTGATTGATCATATATAAGAGATGTGTGATCAGCAACAGCGTAAAAATACCAAAAACTGAGGAGGAACTCTGAGCGATTTATACAACATCTGACTCACTCAACATGAGCTTTAAAGAACAGATATCATATATTTCAATAATGGGTTTAAATTTTGAATTTTCACTCAGAATTAGCTATACATTTATTTGTGATTCTCTTTATTCCTTCCTTATACTCTTATGCTCATAAACTGGTAAAAATAATTACAAAGAAAAATGCAGAGTAAATGCCCTTACAAAACTGTGGCAGTAACAAATCAGATGGCAATATGATGGTACTTGTCCAAAAATCCATTAACAAAAAACATGGTAGTACCATGGTACCTTTTTTGGAAGTGCTATATGAATATGGTTTGTAGATCATTTTAGGGGTATACCATTTATTAATGTTCTGTGCAGGGTTCCCAAACCTTTTGACCATAGAATTTACATAACTCAATTCTAAGCATTAAGTAAAAAAAAACAAAAAAAAAACCCATCTATAGAGCATTTCACTCGCAAAAAAGCAATTTCTAATATTTATATTTTATATATATATATATATATATATATATATACAACTGTAAAAATATATTTACCACAAAAAAATAGTCTTTCACAAGATGATTAATTGAGAAGCTAACATGTGTTCAACTTTTTCATACTGCAAACAAACACACTGAAATATGGAGAATATAATCAGATTTGTGTTGGGATGTGTGATTTCCCTGCTAGGCAACTGCTGTTTTCCTGAGCAAACCAACTGCTGTCTTTCATCCAGATGTTGAGGGAAGTTCCTCCTCAACTTTCATCTAAACTATCATTACAAAGGCGCTTAGAAGAACAGAAAAACTTAAATGAAAAGTTTGTGATGGCGGAAGCATTTTATCTTCATGGCACAAACATAGAAGAACCTGCCTTGAAAACTCAAACATAAAAACACCAATAGAAAAACACAAAATGCAGTTAAGGCTCGATTTAAGTCCTAAATAAGTGTATTACACACCTGATGCACTAAAAAGGGTGAAGCTGTTTTAAATTCTATGCCAAATTATGTTCCTCACTGCCTGTTTTAAAAACACTCAGAGCTCAACAAAGGGTCAAAGCAACTCATCAAAGGGAAATATTCCCAAAAATAGTCACACCAAGGTGTTGTAAGATCTTTTCCATGTTTTTCATAAGGTGTTTGAGATCTTACCTGCTCATGCTGAGGAGAGGAGCCATTTTTTCTGTCCCTCAACAGGGATGTGAGAGTCTAAATGGATGCAGAAGTTTTGTCCTTTGGCCCAGAGATGCGTCGTCCCCCTCCAGTCCGTCTTCAGTGGTGCCCACGTGCCTCTCTGACTGAAGACGACCTGTGCAGGAGATGCCAAACTTTTGGAACACATTAAGGGTTTTTTGCAAGGGCGACCTGGCTTGGTTCCTGGCGTCCAATTGGCTGGAAGAGCTCTGAGGGGTGGTGGCAAGGCTTTTTTACGACTGATGTTTAAGGGAGATGTGAGCCTCGGGCGTTACGAGCACCTTTTTTCATTTCTGCACAGGAGCTAATAACACATGTTGAGCGGCGGTAATTCTGCTAATGGGAAGCCCTACTGCAGGGAGAGCCTGTCATAAACACAGTTAGATTGTGTGTATATGACGCTGGTTAAAAAAAAACTACATTCAACATCCCACCTGGTTGACAACCATTATTCACGAATCATACTTCAATCTGTGTGAATAAATCTGGGCTGATTGCACTAAGGTTGCATATGCAGGTAGAGTAGTTGATGCAAAATCAGGGAAGGTAGTGTACTTTAACAATGCTTCAAAAACCAATGTGTCTCCAGGTAGACAGGCACTGCTGCAATTCCTACTGTAGTGATCCTACATTTCATTAAGAAATAAAAAAAAGAAAAAGAAAGCTAGGTAGCTAAAAGCATAAACAACTGCATATATTTAAATGTTTTATACATTCAAATAAGCAAATGTGAGCATTGTTTGTCCATGCAAAACTCTCCGTAAATTTCCGGAAACATTCCAAAAGTTAAAAAAAAATTCTGGAATGTTTCCGGAAATTTTCCACCTCTTTGCAACCCTTCTACTAGGCCAAACTATTTTAGATATTCTATGATTTAAATCTAAGTATATGGCTTTTCACTGTTTTTATTACAACTCACAAAACACATAAGTCCAATTGCACAATATGATGTATAAAACATAAACTTGCCTTGGCAACCACCATTGATTAACCAAACTGCCAAAATGTCTCTATATTGTAAACATTATGATCACATTAGTAATAATCGCTTTAATGAGCTTCTGCCTAAAATTAATTCATGTTAGCTAGCTGTATGACTCTATTATCTTGAACTGTTCATTTGTGAAATGAACATTACTTGGACACATTCACTTCTGATAACAGATCACTCTAAATTGTAATGCAGACACATGCATTTGCATTTTCTGTAAAGCTGCTTTGAAATGATGCGTATTGTGAAAGCGCTATACACATAAATTTGAATTGAATTAACCAAGATATCTAATAAAAAAAATACAAGCAGAACTAAGTGTTGAAATTCCGTGTGGTGTTTTCTGAAGAATTCAGTGGGTGCAGGTTTCTGGTCGGAGTCACTGATGACTAATGCTGAAGGATGTTGAGAGAAATCTGTCAGATGGGAGATATTGCATAACAAACCTCAAGTTATGCCCAAAAGGGTGTTTAAACAATAAAAGCAGCAAAAAATTAGACCCAAAAAGCTGAGGGATAAGAAAAGCAGCAGCAGTGCCAATCTTCCTCAGCAAATGGGGACTAACTATGAGGGATGTTGAGGTACATCTAACAGATGGGAAATACTGCATAATAAACCAATAAAGCGTTTGTATGTTTATATTAGATTAGTCAGACTTGTTTTTGCTTTTCTGTCCTTATTGGATTATAAAGAAAAAGACTATTTAATAATAGATGAGACACAGCAGAGTGCTCTCAAAAGAAAAGGAGATTGTAAAGTCGCTGTAAAACGACAGCATATTAGAATGATTTCTGAAGGATCATGTGACACTGAAGACTGGAGTAATGATGCTGAAAATTCAGCTTTGCACCACAGCAATAAATTACATTTTAAAATATATTCAAATAGAAGAGTTATTTTAATAGTAATATTTCACAATATTACTGTATTTACTGTATTTTCAATCAAATAAATAGAGACTTCTTTCAAAAACATAAAAAAAAATAATGAATCATGACTGACCCCAAATTTAAATAGTGTGTATGACAGAAATACTATCAAGAGTAGTATGCTAGTATGTTAGGTTCAGTTATACATTTTAAACAGCAGCATTCCAAATTGTTGCATTCCCTCACTTGCATTGCTGTCACATGACCTAGCAAGTTTCGGGAAAAAAACAACAAAACGTGATTGTGCATTTTTAAATCCAATCTTGTGTAAATTTGTCTTAAAAATGGAGTAACTTTTAAAATACTTCCTCCTACCCCAATAGGTAAACCATCCATGGGTTGATTGCCTTGAAAAGTTGATTTCTTTAAAAAAATAAATGAATAAATAATTCCTTTATCTGATGACAGACGGGTGAAGGAGACCTGTTTGAAGTAGGCATTTCCATACAATTACCCAACAAATATGTTTATTAATATGAATATTACTTACGGTTCATTCGTCACACTGGTAGGTCAAGTTGCTGCAGTACATTGTTCTGGCTGTGTACTGTGCATTTCAGCCCATATTCTATGTATACAGAAAATGTACATATAATTTACAGCATATACTAAATATGACAAAAAGGGCAAGACAGCGTATGTAAAGTTTGCAGGACTCATGGTATTTGGATATGCTTCTGCAGTGACACTAACCTTAGTATTTGGGGTTTCCTGTGTGCAGATACAATCAGGAAGTTACCTGTTCAAGACCAGATGTTGCAGAGTTTACATAAGCCAATCTGCACACCTGCACAGTCTGCTACTACTCAGAAATGCCGAGCTATTGTGCAACTACCCAAGTGAGCTTTTAAAAACACTCCAAAGTATGTATATACTGTACTGTCTGCACCGATTCAGCATCAATATTTGATCGGTACACACAAAGAGACATCCACATTCACTGGCCGGAACAGACCCGCATGCTTTTAGTGCATAGCACACACTGTGTGTTTAAACAACCAGCAGTATGAATGCAATGAATGCTGGGTAACTTCAATATGTAATCTGATTATGAATAGCAGAGGTTTAGCAGTCACGGGCAGGTGATCCAACCTCAAATTATAAATCTATTATTTTAGTTATTTATGTATTGATTGGTTGATGGCCCTGCTTAATTTTTTATAATTAAATATTAATCCTAAGCTTAAACTGTAAATGCAGAGACACATTTAGTCTCTTAAACAAGAGTAAAGCTGAATTATCTCACATGTATTGACACTGGCGTAAGCCTGTATGCATAGTGCGTCTGACAACACAGAGCACACATCCATCCCTTATTATCATGCATCCAGCCTCAGACACACACAGAGAGAGAGAGAGAGAGAGAGAGAGAAAGAGAGAGGGGCCAAGCGAGTGGCGCAGCAGCACTTAGGCAGATTGAACATCATCTGTGGAGGTGGGAGAACGCAAGCGCGCTACCGCAGCACGCAGGAGCTGAATGATCACCATGGCAACAACAGCATCAGCATCAGTACCAGCAGCAGCAGAAGCAGAAGCAGCCGTGAGCCACTAATGCCTGTATCAACACTGAGACCTGCTCCTGCTCTCAACACACACTCCCTCCCTCTCAACTTAATGACATAGGATCAAAGCGGGTGCGCGGATCACGCCTCTGGGTCGTCGCACAGGCAGGTAAGGTAACGGACGTTTACGCTCTTTCTCTGTTATTGTTCATCCGTGTTTGGCTCACATCGACTGTGGACTTGCTTTTGACTGGTGTTTCCTAATGACTGTCTAGTCTGGTCTGGTCTTTAAGCCGCTCTTAGATGGACAGGCAGGGAAATATTCCGTTATCCGGCATAAATCCCTGTTAGGAACATATTGGATGCATATTCTGCCAATGCAACGCGCCAGCCATCTGGCTCCATCAGAAAAGCACAGCACTGTATTTCTACATGACAACAACACATTTGAAGCATGTGACATTGATGATGACTTGAGCAGTACGCCGTGTGCCGGACACCACGGTTGGGAATGATTTGATTTAGGTGCATGTATACTAATTCGCTTTCTGTTCTGTTAGAGGGCTAATATGTCATTTGATGGGTCAGAAAGAGTTCAATCAAAACCTGAAGGAACTGTTTAGACATATGACAAGGATTTGCATGATGCATTTTTGTACTACGGTGAGGAAAGAAAATCTAGGATTTTGGTTTTCCTTCATGTATTTGGTGCAAAACTGACTGTAAACACCTCTTCAACCTCTCTGAGAGATTACATGTAATGAGGTGTTTCTAGCAGGGCTGAACTGACAAAAACAGCCTGCTGAAGACTCAAGAAACTCCAGCTTACAGGAGCTCACTAAAACCACTGGAATTTTACTCCGGAGTTATTCTGCATTAGCCAAATTCAGGCGTTCACCTTGAATGGGACAATTTCACTCTTAATGAACTCTTCTAAATGCATAATCCGAGCTGAAGAACTGGAATGGCCTGTATCTGTGAAGGTCAATAAATCTGACATTCACAGCACCGTCTTGGCAAGCCGGGCTGCGGATGTATTTTTCAAATTACTTGTCTCGTGTAGATGAGACTTAAGAATTCAGCTCATGGCATTTGACTCAGCCTGACATTTAAAGGCGATGTAAAATCTGGAATAATCAGGACTCTTAATGAGCGCTGTGAATAATGTAGTTGGACCGTATAGATGGTGACATTCAAGTGCAAAGTAGCGAGTCCCGCAGGGGCCCGGACGCTTGTCGGCGTGTTTAACGGATGGGGCCTGGGCTTGCCGGAGGACACGAAATACCCCAGACGCCAGAGTGTTCTAACTGATGTGGTAAAACAGCAGATTTTCCAGCAGACTTCCGATCGGCCAGGTCTGTCCACACTGCTCCAGGCGAACTGTACAGGATGATCTTGTGGGAATGCTGGGAGAAAGAAAAACAGCCAAGTTTAGTCATTGTAGATGATCTAGAAAAAAATCAACACAAAGTTCTAGAATGCTCAGAGGACAGGAGTTTTCATAAATAAACAATTAACCATTGTTTAAAGGTTTTTGAACATTTCAATGAGGTTTAATGAATGCCTCTTTAGAAATAAAAAAATAAACAGTCATTAATAGCATGACATGATACAGCAGCAATCAATAAATCTCAGTAGCATTTTACAATAATGTTAACATTAATGCAGTAGATAGATACCATGAACTATGAATTAAGAATACTTTTAAAGCATTTCTTAATCTTGGTTAAAGTTAATTTCTGCATATATTGAATGTATCACAGTATTAAGCAGCACAACTGTTTTCAGCATTATAAATAACAATAAATGTTTCTTGAGCAGCAAATCAGCATATTAGAATGATTTCTGAAGGATCATGTGACACAGAAGACTGGAGTAATGATGCTGAAAATTCAGCTTCGCATCACAGAATTAAATTACATTTTAAAATATATTCAAACAGAAGACAGTTGATTTAAATTCTAATAATATTTCACAATATTACTGTTTTTACTGTATTTTTTTTTTTTTTTAATAAATGCAGCCTTGGTGAACATAAGAGACTTTCAAAAATATTTTAAAAATATTAACTTTTGATCAGTGTCTATTTATAAATCATAAACGTTAACTAAGTAAATTGTTTATTGTTACTTTATGATACCCATTTCTTAAGCATGTTAACAGATCGAACCTAAAATCTTACATTTCATTGTAAATCAGACATTTTATGGTTACAGACAAAGACAAATGAGGAGCTACAGGAATTTGTTTCACTTTTGCTGGGTAGTCGCACCAACAGACAAATTTAAATATAGATAGCTGTACATTAAATACCAAATACATTCAAATTGGCTTTGATTATGTCGTGCCATTCAGCATTTTTTTTCTTTCAGTGTGGTAAAACAACTTTACTTTTAGCTGGAAACATACTTGGTTAGGACACAGTGTTACACAAAGTGAACAGCAAAAATATCTTCCAAGTGTACTAACCAGTCACAACAACTGGACATTTTGTTGGTTGGTTGGCTTCTGTTTCCGCATTGTGCAAGATAACCACGCCCACAGTGACATTTCATTGGTCAATCCTTCTCCTCAAAACTGCATATTAAACATCAAATAGTCTTAATGTTCTGATTTGCATCACACATTATTTTTACCCTAATTGATCATAAAAAAATAACCTGTTGTGTCACCTAATTAGGACACGGTGTGTAATGCAGACAGGAACTTCATTGTACTTCAGCATGATTTTATCTCTCTCATTTCAAGCAGTGATCTGTGACTATTCAGGACAGTGTCACACATTAGCATTTGAGTCAGCTGTGAATCCTGTAATGTGAACAGCTCTGTGTGTGAACCGCATCAGGACAGTGTGTGTGCGCGAGTGTGCCATGTCAGGTTTTCTCAGGTCTCTTTGTGTGGATTTGTAACAGTTTGTGCTCAGGCCGGTCTCATGCGGTCCTGTGACTCTCTCTCATGTGATTTCTCTAATCTCTTTTCACTATCACATTGTTCCCGCAGGGTCAAGCGCATGCCGTATAAATCTTTTACCAGCACCATTGTCCTACTGCAGGACTTCATTATACAGAGCCGAATATCACTGCTGCAAGACATATGCAGATTTGATCTACAATTATCCATCTATCCATTCATCCATCCATCTGTTTATATGCACAGTAAGAATCATTTATATGTTCATGTATTTTTGGCTTTAGAGGTACAGTTGTTATTCTGTGCCCTGTGATCTAACGACAAACCAAACCTCTGTCATCTCACCCAACTTCACCCTGTCTTCTGTCTGTATGTAGCAAAGTAGAAGCATGTGACCTTTTGAGTTGTCACAGCCAGCTTACTTGGGAAAAAGAGTATGCTATTATTCCATACTATTATCTAGTCTACTATTTTGGAAAGAAAATAACACGCAACTATAGCATGTATATGAATACTATGCAAAGCATGTGGACTTTCTGTATGCATGGAATATCTGGATAATCTACAAGTTTTGCCAAAATGTGCATATAGAGCACAGTGCGTTAGATACTGTATCCCACAATGCAATGTGCCCAAGTGACCTTTCATTTTCAGTGTAATGAAAATTGATGTCATCCACAATTTTCAATACTGAGTTTTTGATTTATTAGGTAATCGGTCTGCTAAACATTTTGAATGAACACAAATTTGAATGAAAACACCTAATCATGTTTTGAAAAGTTAATTGAATGTCTCATGGCGCTGTGAAATGCTTGATTCTGATTGGTCAGTTGTGACAATCCGAGGTCAGTTATTCCTAATAATGACTGTCGTCAATAGTAAAGCTGTATAATGACCGCCAATATGAGGCCAACACTTTTTTTTTTACGTCTCCTGTATCACACAGTCTCTCTTGTTTCATTCAAACGCAACAGGCGCCATCTTACGCCTCAGTTATAGACTATTTTCTTAAAAGAAACCTGTAAACTGTAGATAATAAGATAATAAACAAGTATGCTTTTGAAATGCTTTCTTCTCAAATCAATATTTCACATCCCTGCCTTTATTAAAGTGGTGAAATGTTCTTTAATAAGTGGCATGACTGTACATTATCCATTAAATGCCCAGCTTGTTTGAACTTGTTTGTTCGTGCAGGCTTAAAACTGTTTGTTATATAGGAACTGTTTTTGTGTGCGTCTCGGATGATTTTTGCAATAACAACCGGTTGGATGTACAGTACATCATTCCTTATTTGCTGAATTATACATGCAGCATAAAGAGGTCATGTCACAACAACATAGCTTACTACTCTTTTAATGTTGACAACAGTGTAGTCTCATGTTAGACAGAGGTTTACATGACTTTGACTTTTGAGATGTGTGTCTATTTCAAGAGTGGTGAAGTTGATTTGAGCTGTAATTTATAAAATAAAATAAATAAAACTTCTGTCAGGACCACTATCGTCAAAGATGATTGACAATTAGCATACAGTTTGGATTGGCGGTATGGTTCTGTTCTGGGCAATAACTCCCTGCGCATCCATGCAACCTAGCATGGATGAGAGCAGGGAGAGCAGCGATAACACCCCCAGGGTAAACAGAACAGAACCAACATAAATGTATTGCAGATATCGTTAAAGTTCAATAATGTTATGTACACATTTTAGAATTAGTCTGATACAAAGGAGAATCAGAAGGCTGAATCCCGACTGACAGAGGAGGAGTTGGGGATGGAGGAGGATAATTAGCTATTGAGCAATGCAAAACTGCTAATAATACTGAGGGATCTTATATATGAATGCTTAGATAGGTGTCGTATTCCCATAGGTAGATGGGGATCAGCTGAGAGTCAGCTGATGCGAGCTTGACTAACGTGACCTGCCAGAACTAACGCTACGTTAGATAATTATTTCAGTTCAGGGAATGTGCTGTATGTTGACAAACTACAGCATTAAATGTTCCAGTTCAACAGCATCATTCACTGCTGTTCCTTTATAAACCCGACTGCATTGTGTCAGCTGATGTGTGCCGTCTAAAATGTTGTTGGAGGTTTCCTGAGCAGAGTCAGCAGTTTTTTAAGCTTTTCTAGGCAGAATCAGTGAACTAGTTGTTGCATATTTGTCTTTCTTGCCATGGCCTTGTGGAGGCTAAGGTGAATTTGTTGTGTTTGGGTTTATTCCATATAAATTATATTCCTGCATTAGCTGAACATTATTGGCATTGCGATTGGATTCATTTTTTAAGTACAAAAAGGTTTTGCTGTATTAAAATACATTTTAAATAGATTAATAAAATATATAAATCTAATAAATATTGCAATGAGCTCTGAATGAACAGGAAAACACCTTCAAAGAAGGCAAAGGGAGTATCTGAACTGAATTCAAGAAAGCTTGTGACTCACCAAACGACTTTCTCTCTCTCGCTCTCTGTCTCTGTGTGTGTGTGTGTGTGTGTGTGTGTGTATTGATCGATTTCAGCCAAGACTCAAATGAGGGTTAAAGCCAATGTCACTTCCTGTCTGACAACCAGTTCTGGTGAAACAGAATTTTGACATTTGTTTTTTGACAATCAATTCATTATAGCAGAAAAAGAAAATGTTTTTGCATTCATTCATTCATGCATTCATTCATACTTAATTATTATTTGTAATTATTGAAAAAAGTATGTGTGTGTGTGTGTGTGTGTGTGTGTGTGTGTGTACTGTATAAGGGTTGTCAAATCGATTAATCACATTCAAAATATTGGTTTGTGTTTACATAACATATGTGTGTGTGCTTTGTATATTTATGTATACATAAATAAACACACACACACATGGATATATTTAAGATCATATCATTTAATAAATCATATATAAATATGAATACACATGTGTACATATTTCTTAAAAGTATATGCATGTACATATTTATATATACATATAAATATACACAAGGCACAAACATATATTATGTAAACAATCTTTTTGGATAGAATTAATTGCGATTAATCAATTTGACAGCTGTAATATAATATATATTGCATCCAAAATAAAAGTTTGCGTTTACATAATATATGCGTGTATACACACACACACACACACACACACACACAGACAGACTGACACAGCCTGACAGGCCCATAAGGCTCTTCACTCTTGCCAGAATGAAATCATAGATCACTCACAGCAAGCCCACGGCCTGCAGAATTGATCAAGCAAGTGTCTTCAGTCAGCAATAGATTTATGACTGCACACAAGCACCCATTGTTGCACAAAAATATTGAATATTGCTGGAAGTGAACTCTGGGAAATGCAGGTTACATGTCCATCATTTTGGCAGATCTCTGAGAATATTAAAGGTGTCCGGTAATTCAGTAATACATTCAACTGAACACTTCACAGTCCTAACACACCGAGAGATTCATTTAGCAGACTTCCATTGCAAACAAGTTTTTTAATAGCAGTTTAAAGTCCGGTAACATCCATTGTGTGTGATTACTGCCTGTAAAGGAAGTAGTGACCTCAGTTAAACCAATATTGTTTGATCATGTCATACCATCTAAATCTAATTACATGAGTAAATCTTACATATATGAATCTTGTCGCATTAATCAATCAAGCAGATTAGTCAGGTTCCTAGTTCCTTTCACACACTTTATTTGATTACATTTATTTTACTTTTTATGTTTTTACTTTACTTCATTTTTTCCCTATATTTATTAACTGAGCAGATTTATTAAAAAATGAATAGCATAAAACATAATTATTGTCTAAATCTAATGAGACCTATAATTATAGGAAGAAATCTGTTATATTCTGTTTAAAATTGACCTAACCAACTTCATATTATTCTGTTGTGTTCTATTTTATTTTGTATTTATTTATTCAGCAGATGCATTTACCCAAAGCAATGTTATATTATTCAGTTATATTCCATTTTATTCTATATTTCTTTAACAAATGCATTTACCCAAACCAACTTTATATTATTCTAATCTGTTTATTAATTTAGCAAATGCATTTACCCAAAGCAACTTTATATTATTTTATTATTTTCTATTTTAACTATATTTATAAATTAGGTCCATTTACCTAAAGCAACTTTATCAACTTCAGCAACTTTAGCAGATGCTAAATTAATAACATATTATAATAACACAAGTAACATTTTATTCTATATTTATTTATTTAGCAGACTAACTTACACACTGCAACTTTGTATTGTTCTATTATGTCCTATTTTATTCTATATTTATTTACTTAGAACAGCATGCAATTTACTTTGGGTAAAGTTTACAGCGTTTTATTTTACAGGAAAGCTAAGGGGTCAGTTTAGCAGATGCATTTACACAAATTATCTTTTTATTATTATATTATGTTATATTTATTCTATATTTATTTAGAAAATGCCTTTACTTAAAACAACTTTTTAATATTCTTATTCTATATTTATTTAGCATATGCATTTACATGTAGCAACTTGATATTATTGTATTACTTTATTTAATTCTATATTTATTGACTAGACGTATTTACCTAAAGCAACTTCATGTTATTCTAATATATTTTATATTTATTAATTTAGCAGATGCATTTACACAAATTATCTTTATGTTATTCTAGTATGCTCTTCTATATTCATTTATTTATGCATTTACCTAAAGCAATTTCATGTTATTCTACTATAATCTATATTTATTCAGCAGATCCTTTTACACAAAGCACCTCTATATAATTCATTTACTTACTAGATGCATTTACCTTTTCTATTCTATATTTATTAAGTTAGCTGATGCATTGATCCAAATCAACTTTTCAATATTCCATTTTATTGTGTGCATATACATATTGCAACTTCATATTGTTCTATTGTTTTATTTCATCTATATTTATTTACTTATTAGATGCATTTACCTAAAGCTACTTCATGTTATTCTACTATATTCTATATTCAATCATTTAGCAGGTGCATTTACCTAAAGCAACTTAATTACATTCTATTCTGTTCTATTCTTATAGATACAAAAGTCCTTCTATACTGCATGAATATTGCATGCTTCAAATTAATCACCAGTACCCATAATGCCCTCTGCTTCTGCTCCAGCAGCTGCAGAGGTCAGTGTTCTCTGGCCCGTCTCGGACAGGCTCTCAGGATACTGAATGGGGCAGTGAAGCCAACACGGTGGAACATTGTGTCAGTTAACGCAAGGGCAGCGTTTCAAAGGAAACATATTTTTCATTTCTCAGCATCAGCTGCCAGAGGAAGGTGACTGCAGCTCCAGAGCTGTTAACCTTTAGCCGGCATACCGAGACCGAGCACTAAACCACTAATAATAGCCATCTAATGCTACACCACACTCGTTCAGATCCCGCCTCTTTATTGCTTCCTTTTCCCACTCCCTCTGTAATGTCTGCTGGAACGGCATTCCTATCAATATTTCATCACTGCTACCAGAAACATTTTTGTGCTCCCCATTCACATCGGACGGTGAAGCTCCTGTAGCTTTCCTTACTACGGCTCATGCGGTTTTGAAACATTTTAATCATCTCTGTTTATTAAAGGGGTCCTATTATGCTCTTTTACAAAGTCTTGATTTTGTTTTGGGGGTGTACTAGAACATGCTCTCATCCTTGGTGGTTCGAAAAACTGATTATTTTTCACATAATTTACATTATTACAATACCTTTCTCCCCAGCCTGGCACAAACGGCTTGATTAGTTCCGGCTTTGATGAAGGTCCGCCTTCCGAAAAACAAAATGTGTTATGATTGGTTAGCTGTCTCACAATTATGACTTTTTAACTCGCATTGCTAGTTTATGTCACGCAATTCTTAGAAAAAAAAGTCAGAATTGTGAGTTAAAAAGTCGCAATTACCTTTTTTATTTTTTATTCAGTGGCGGAAACGGGCTCCCATAGTGATGTGCTTTATTGTCCTGAAAATACACAATAAAACTTCAAATTATATAATACATTTTGGAACAGATTGACACTTATTCATCTGACAACTGGACATTGATATTGGATGATGGCCTGGTCATTATATCTGTTTTTTACTACAATAAAGGCAATTTGAAAGAGAATGAGTAATAAAGATAATGAAGGACAAACAAACAGAGAAAGAGACAAAAAGACAGAAAGATAAACTTGAGTGAAAATGTGAATGCTAATAATTAATGCTGAGTGTTGCTCTCTAAAACACACTGATTCTTTCTCATAAAGGCAGTCTGGAAAAGAAAATATCCAATCAGATTCCAGCCAATCCTCTCATGTCACAAGCACTGGACTCGCACCACAACCTGTTGTGTGGGAAGAAGCCATTGATATGATTACTGCCACACACACACACACAGGTTCAGCCTGAGCTGCGGCGTCTCTTAGACGGATGGTGTCATAAGTATGATTTGGGATCACATCCAGAAATGCCACTGCTGCCATCCGTCTTGGAGCTGTGCGACGTACATTCGTTTGCCACAGAGCAGCACATCGGGTTCTCAGAACAAATATAGTCTGGGATGAGTCACAGCCTGAGTAATTAGAGATGGCGTCTCCCTGAGTCACACATGTGCGTCCGGCTCTTGAGTCACTGGATTGTGTTCATTTGGGTTACCACGGTAAACACACTCCCTCACAATGGGCAAACGGCTCGGCTGACAATGAAACAGCAACATAGAGAGTCCTGAATGAGAAATGCATTCTGAGTTAGATAGCAAGACAATGCAAGTCTTGATGTGTTCAGCTGCAAATGAACATTTCTCTGTCTCTCTAGGTGATGGAATAGATGATGTCGGAAGTACAGGGCACTGTGGAGTTCTCGCTGGAGCTGCACAAGTTTCACAATGTGGATCTCTTCCAGAGAGGGTAAGTCTGTATTCTTCTGTACGTCTAATGAAGGCTGTGTTAAGTGTCTGTTCTCTAAACAACCAGTTCGGAAAGAGCACATGGTGACAGCATCACGCATAAACACTAAGAGCCACTTTGAATCAGTTTAATTGTCACATTCCAGGCATTTTTCCATGTTCTTTTTGGATGCAGTGAATAGTCAGCTTTGTGTGGCATTCATTTTGTGTCATGCGGCACAAACACCAGAGCTGGAAATCAAAACTAGAGTTTTGGTATATGTCTCATTATGCTAACAGCTAGCGTAGTCTTAAAAGCTGACAATATTAACTTTTAGCAGATATATGCATTTTCTCTAATGGGAAATTGTTTTAAGATGTTTTTTAAAGGGATAGTTCACCCAAAAATGAAAATTCTGTCATCATTTACTCACCCTCATGTCGTTCCAAACCTGTATGAGTTGCTTTCTTATGTTGAACATAAAAGAAGATATTTTGAAGATTGCTGGTAATCAAACAGTTGGTGGTTGCCATTGACTTCCATAGAGGGTAAGTAAATGATGACATAATTTTCATTTTTGGGTGAACTATCCCTTTAATGTTTTTGAAGGACGTCTCTTCTGTTAACCAAGGTTGCATTTATTTGATCAAAAATGCAGTAAGATCAGTAATATTGTAAAATATTATTACTACTAAAATAACTATTTTCTATTTGACTATTTTAAAATGTAATTTATTCCTGTGATGCAAAGCTGAATTTTCAGTATCATTACTTCAGTCTTCAGTGTCACATGATCATTCAGAAATCATTTTAATATGCTGATTTGCTGCTCAAAGAAACATTTCTAATTATTATCAATGATGAAAACAGCTGTGGTGCTTAATATTTTTGTGGAAACTGTTATATCTTTTTTTCAGGATCATCTGATGATTATAAAGTTCAAAAGAACAACTTTTGTAACATTATACATGTCTATACTGCCACTTATTATCAATTTAATGTATAATTAAAGTATTAATGTAATGTAATGCAATAAGTTTACAGGAAAAGAAAACGGTGCTTCGTGCAATTTCATAGAGTTTTTAAAGGTGAAGCATGTGTGATTTCTGAGCCATTAGTGGTAACAAACGAAATTTGTAATCTGTTTGAGCAGTCTGATTGGCTCAGACATATTCACCCAACCAATGGTGTGAATTTGGGGTGGGGCTATCTGTTTGACCAATAGCAGACAAGAATTTTATTTGAAAACAATATATTTGGTACCTCTAGTGGTGCAAAATGATATTTACACATTTGTTTAATGCTAATTACTTTGAAAACAACCATAACCACCGTACCAGTGTCAATGCAACCACTCTAACTCTCAGTTCCCAATATAATCAAAACAGTTGTCTATGCTGCAAATGGCTAAAGTCGTGTTGTGTGCATTGTAGACAGCTTCACTGACTGTAACAGGAGTTATCTTCGAGTTCCGGTGCATCGCTTGCTGGTGTTGATTGGGTGTTAAACAGTGTTTTCATTTACATCTCCCTGCTAAGACCATGCGATGTCACAGGAAGGTGTTTGTTTCAGTAGACTGGTAGAAAAATGATTGATTTTTGCTGGTTTTGTACATTATGTTCCTGTCATTGGTTCAAACCAAATCAATTACAGTCAGCAGGTGAAGTCTACAGGGAATTCAATGACTTTTCAGGTCACTGATTTTTTAACTATACAGAGATCTGACTAGAAACTCATTTGAGATTCAGGGACAAAACTGTGCTTCCATGACCTTTATGATTCGTGACTAGAGTTCTGCTGCCACGAGTTTGGTGCTAGTCCAGTGGTTGACATTCAATAACATTGGCATGTTATGTGCACACTACCATTCAAAAGTTTGGGGTTGATCACTTTTGATGAATATAATGCATTCTTGCTGAATAAAAGTTTGTTTTAAAAAAATCTTACTGAATGGTAATATATGTAAATATACATTACTAAATATAAAACACATTAAATATATACACTAAATATATATTAATAGTTAGTGTACTTTTTAGTGTTAGTTAGTACTTTTTAGTTCCCTTTCAGTCGGTCACTCTCGACGTCACGTCGGATGACCGACGAATTGGGATCTCGCTTAGAGAGACCAATCCACTTCGAGTGTTCGTTCAGTCTTCTTCTCTCAGTAGAGTAGTCAGGAGCAGAACGATGTAATCGCTCGGCTCCGAAGCGAAAAGCTGAATATGCGCTGCATCTGCTGCCTACTTATACTCACGCTGTGATCAGCAGCAGCTGGATGCAATAATCGCATGCCAATGTGCATTGGCTCGTTTAGTTTACACTCGAAGTGGATTGGTCTCTCTAAGCGAGATCCCAATTCGTCGGTCATCCGACGTGACGTCGAGAGTGACCGACTGAAAGGGAACGAGGGTTACATACGTAACCGAGACGTTAGTTTTAGTTAGTGTACAAAAAAGTGATAAAAAGGGTCAATTACAGGATTTTACATGGATACTTTCCATTATACTTTATCTAAAAATTAACCATCTTAAGGTTGATTGAAAAAAAAACAACAACTGTCAACTACCAATTTAAAGACAACATGAAAACATATTTTATCCTATTTACCGTATTTAATAAATGCTCCTGTTTTTATTGTGAAAAACATTTTATGGAGGCAAATAAAAAAATGCTATTAATCATAATTAAGGTTAATAGTGAGTGTTAACAGTACATTAGCATTTAATTTAACAACTTAATAATTGTATAACACAAAAGGATGGGAGATTAAAGTTCTCGTTGTCTTGAAGAACCGGGTAGTGCTAACGCAAAGGTTGCAAGTTCAGTCCCAAGGGTGATCAATAAAGTTTCTGAAAAAAGCAAGTCTATAAAGCTAGAAATACTATAGAGACTCCCAAGGCACATCTACTGTAGACACCTGTCTGTCAGCAGATCTAATATAGTATTACCTGTCTATCCTCCACCGTTCTCCTGACAGCTGTGTGAAGCAGAGGTTGCGATGGAGTAGAGGTCACTCATAATGTTTTTCAGCTCAGCCCGTCTGCTCTGAGATTAAAGCAAGGCCATTGGCTGAAACATCAGCTTTGCAGAGATTTGACTGGCCCTTCCCCCCTCCATAAAGCAGAAAGCTCTTGTCTGAAATAATCCCCACAAGACACACACTGCTCTCTAATATACTGTTTGTTTTTAACAGCCCCTGTATGTAGTTCCTACGGTGGCCGAGAGAGCTCAACGTGATGCAACTTCAGAAAACACATGCAAATAGAAAAAGCACCAGCAAATTAAGAAAACATCTTCATCAGTTTGACAGAACATGTGCTGCAAACACACTCGCAACACAACCAAATACAAAAACAAGCTGCAAATGCTCACAACACAAGCAAAAACAGAAACGCGCTGCAAATGCTCACAACACAACCAAATAAAGAAAGCGCTGCAAATGCTCACAACACAAACAAATAAAGAAATGCGCTGCAAATTCTCACAACACAAACAAATAAAGAAACGAGCTGCAAAAACAGAAACGCGCTGCAAATGCTCACAACACAA